ATGTTTGAACATGTTTGAAACGGTGGATATTGAAGATACTCACAAGAAGCCGCAAATCTGCTTGAGATACTTTGACAAACTTCAGTATGTAACCACCATGGAAACACTGACTAGGACGATAAAATTCACAATGGAAAAGGAATCTCAGAAACTAAATGCCGTTTCTAGGCGTGGTAGTGAAGAGAAACGAGTAGAAATTATGTGTTTACGAAATAATCTCTCCTAACGGAATAGTATCTGAATATCGAAACCAACTATACAGGGTGTTCCTAAACATCGTGCACATACGAAAGGAGGTAATTCTTTGGCTTATTTCATAACTACAAGTTCATATAAACATAGGTCCGCAAACGCTTCGTTACCGATTTACAGGGTGTTGAAATTACAAGATTTTTCTTGTTTTTTATTTGGATCTCCTGCAGTTTTCGAGATATTGAGCTCAAATTTGGAATCTAGATTGCGTTATAGGGCATACATTAGTGGGTTTTGTCAGATGGTTGTTGATTCTACAAGGTGATATTTTTTTCAGGAGTCATATTCCATTTTCTCCCCCTGAACTTTTTTACTGTGCGCCGCTGGTATATTCTAAAATACAAAATTAATTTTCTGTTTTATTTGAAAACTTTTTTTGTTTAGAAACTCTTCTCGTTTCTGCGACCGTTATCGAGAAAAAAATTAAAGATTTTTTGTAGAAATGATTTATTTTACAATACAAAAACCTCTATTCAGTTGTTCTCATACATGTAAACACTTCCGAGACAAAATAGAAAAATATGCTGGAGTGCTGTCGTGCATAAATCAAATTTCTCAACAAAAGAGGCAAGTATTCGAGTAATAAAGGCGATTCCTATTGAACTTCTTTGCAGTGCGCCGCTGGTAGATTCTACGATACAAAATAAATGTTTTGTTTTCTTTAGGAGTTTTTTTCGGATTTGCATTTTAACTATTTAAGGTTTTAGTTTGACACTGTACGGTATAAAATTAATTGTTTTAATTACTCGTTACAATCTCAAACAATGTTAATTTTTACCAATTCTGAAATGGCTGAGATGCATTTTATCTATGGTCTTGCGAATGGAAATGCACGAGAATCTAGACGTTTGTACATGGAGCGCTATCCCAATAATACCTGATCAAAGAACATTCTCCTCGAATATCCATAGGCGTCTTGTAGAAACTGAATGTATTAATAAAAAGGTATGTGACGGAGGTAGACCACGTACTGTTAGAACTCCACAGATCGAAGAAGCTGTTCTAAATGAAATAAAAGAACATCCCAGTACTAGCACCAGAATAATCGATAAACATTTGAATATTAGTCAGCAGGTTATTTGAAGAATATTGCGCGAGTCTCTACTATACCCTTACCATATTCAAAGAGTGCAGGCGCTTCTTCTTCGAGATTTCCCTTTAGGGATCAATTTCTGCCAGTGGTACCTTAATAGACTAGCAGATGACCCCGATTTTGACTGTAAAATCGTTTTTACTGACGAAGTCAATTTTTCAAGGAATTCCATTATTAATTTTCATTACAACCGCATATGGGCACAAGAAAATCCACATGGAATTGTAGAAGCACATTTTCAAGAGCAGTTTTCATTAAATGTATGTGCTGGTATACTACGGGATCATTTGATTGGTCCTTTCTTTTTGCCTGGTCGACTCAATGGTCGCTTCTACAGACATTTTTTGCAACACGAATTGCCTGTTACTCGAAAACGTGCCTCTTTTGTTGAGAAATCAAATTTGGTTTATGCACGATGGCATTTGCGGACCTATGTTTATATGAACTTTTAGTTATGAAATAAGCCAAAGAACTACCCCCTTTCGTATGTGCACGATGTTTAGGAACACCCTGTATATATCACCAACCTGCCAAGAGAAGGATTGGTGATACCCTAGCTGAATTATGGTGCATTCAGTCTCTGCAAGATAGAGGGACACCTTGAAAAGGAACTCAATGCCACATCAAAAAGGATCCTCACTAAACAGAATAAGGATAATCGGATTTCAGTAAAAACTTTGGACCTTCAGATCCAGGAACTTTCGAAATCCATTTTACAAAATGCGGTCGACGACTATAAGAATTTGTTTCATCTAACTGTAAGAACGGCACCTCTTCATGGGTGAAACCAAGAGACCTTTGAGAGCCCATTTTCGAATAGAAGTGCATATTAGGGCCCACATAGATAGATAGATAGATATGCGTTCGTTCATCAATGAGAATTTTTTTAATGCCTTTTTTAAATCTACAGATTTCTGTAGATTTAATTTAGCAGGTCGAATAAGATTAGCACCACGTGTTTTATAGTTATGAAAGTGGGAGTTAGTTAAAAGAGTGTCCTAATTTTATGTACCTCCAGCAGTGACTGAAAAATGAAAATCGATGGAAGAGTCATGATTCCAAATTTTTTTAACAATGGTCGACATGTGTCCCGATATTCCGCATTAGAAATTATCCTTATTGCTTTTTTTGTGTAACAAATATCTTTCCAGCAGAAATAGAATTACCCCAAAAAAGTGTCCCGTAGCTAATAAGCGAATGGAAAAAGGCATAGTAGACAGCAAGAGGAGTGTCAAGTGTCAATAGAAACAAATTCTCTCAATTGCCTCAACAAAAACAGATATTTGGATAATTTCGTATTTAATTCATCAATATGACATGTCCAATTTAGGGAGTCATCCAAAGTTATACCAAGTAATTGAACTGTTTTACCTTCCAAAAGCATGTTATTGGAAGAAAATATCAGTCTCTGGGTTTTCCCCATATTAAGTTTGAGAAGTAGTCTAAATTTTGTTCTTATAGCATTCACCCAAGTTGATAACTTGTTTATCATATCAGAATCATATTTATTTTTTTATATGGGGTTTTTCATTATGCGTTTTTTTTTAAATAAAGCAAAGTATGTGTGTGGGATATCATCGAAATTTTTTATGTTTTGTCTGTCTGGTCTCGTTCATTGGTTAGCTTCATGTTATGATTTGGCTGTTGATTTTTCTCTTCTTGGATACTGTTCATTTTCAGTTGAGACCTATTATTGGTATCATCAAATCGAGCATACACACATTAGCTTGTTCTTACGTAACTACGTAAGAACAAGCTAATGCGTGAGATCTTCTTCAACAACATCGAAAACATCAACATATACTGACTTTTGAATTCTTCAGGTCAAGTGTGCTGAAGTTCGATTCATCATGACCTGCCAGAATGTTATCAACACCATAATCTACCATGGTCACGCAGTGCATATATAGAGGTTACTATTCCTTATACATAATGCAAGACCTGCATTTGATATCAGCGTGTCTATCATAAAAAAGAAAATAATAAAAATAAAAAGTGTAGAGATTCCAAGTCACGTTAGTTCACGACGTTTCGATTGTTGGTATCTAGGCAAACATTCGAATCGAATGACACCTTGGTCGTAATTTTCGGACAGGGCTGAAAAATGTCACCAAAAAGAGCTAAATCGAGTATATGTGAACTAGACTACCTATGCGACTGTATTTCAAGCGGAAATTTACGCTATTGATTTGTGTGCAAAAAGATTGGTAGAATCCAACCTCATTCATACACTAGTCAATAAAAATATCGTCTTTGGTCTGGATTCCTGGCCATACTGGCCTGGAAGGCAATGAGGTTGCTGACTCCCTTGTAAAGGAAGGTGCTGCAAGCAGCTTTATCGGACCAGAACATGTCATTAGCATCGCTTTAGACCTTGCCAAACAAAGTTTGAACACCTGGATGGCAAGAAGATTTATGAACTTCTGCAGAGACCCGACTGTCGGAACACAGTGTGTATCGCCTCTGTTTGGAAAATGATGGAACAGCAGAGCACATACTTTGTGCCTGCCCCGCTGGGGACCGTATCGGGCCTTTAGAGTTCGATGGAGCCATAATCTTACCATCTGAAAGACCAATCACCATACAAACTAATCGGCTTCGTTAAGAAGCTGGGTTCATTTGGTCGAGTGTTAATAGGTGTGAGCCACAATAAACGCTTGCGGTTTGCGGCTTCCATTGGACCAGTACCCATAGATATGACTTTTAACTGTAATATTCAGAAAAAACAAATACTCATATGGCATTACCTATAAACAACTTGCGAAACTTCGAACATATATCAAAGCCGTCTCAATTCAATTCAATATGGATTTCATACGAGTGAAATTTAAGAGATTTGAAAATTCCTCGAATACGTATACGGCTTATTTCAGAAACTGTCGATAATTGCTTGTTAACGTAGCATCAATACGAACATTGCATAGCTTGCCGATTTTGACAATTAATTATCCGTGCTGTAATATTAGCGCACTTACCGTTCAGCTGAAACTACATGTAGTTAAATGGAATATAATTTATTCATTACTTCTGTTTTCATGGGAAGATAGTTGAAACACATTTTTTTACAAGCCTTGATTTTACAGTACAAAATTGTAAATTAGCAAGTGAAGCTATTCATGATGAGTCTCGTATTACCTACACAATGAAAAATCATTTAAAAATTCAAAACAAACTCGAAGGAGTGGAAATCGTTTGAAAAAGAAATCGATTACTTTTCGTGGAAGGTATCATTTGACTCTGCGGTCTTATTTCGGTTTCATTGTCCCACCCTGTTCGTACATTTTCACCACATTGATGGAATTATCGTTATTATGAAAAATATATCTTATTTTTCATGGCGACTTGTTTCTCTTAATGCTAATTCATCGACTAATATACTTACAGTCAAAAAATACATCGATAACGTATTATTTATCAATTTTTGGAACATTCTTTCGCTGCTCAAAACTGTAAGAAGTCATTGTCCACAAAATTAGGTATGGTCATTTCTTGGCTAAATTACAATCAACTAGCGAAATGATTTTTAAGCAAACGCATAAATTCTCCATATTATCCACACTCACGTTTTTGTTGTTAATCAAATATACGTATCAATCAAAATCTTGTGTAATGTTTCTACATTTTTACGATAAGTGACATCCATTCTTTGTTCTAGGTACACAAAATTTCGGCTGCGAGAGGAGTATAAGGACAAGGATTTTCGAGTTTCTGTATTTTGACATGGTGAGATGTTTTTTATGATTGTTTAATATAGTGATACATTTGTTTCCTCTTACGAAAATAAATTCACATTTTTTATGAGTGCCGTCTATTTTTATTCAAGTTATCTAGGTATGCGGATGATACTGACATTATATATCAAGGAGATAATTGGAAAGATATTAAGATCAAAGCAGAAAGGAACTTTGCTAAAAAGCCGACTGGTTTGAGAGTAAACATCTCGCACTCACTGTAAAAACTCACTTTATTCCTTTCAGTTACTTTGATCAGTATTCATCACACTGAAAATTAACAGACACAATACAGAATTTGAGATAAAAAAGAAGGATCATCTTAAGTATCTCGGCATTAGAAATAGCTTCACAGACAGTAATAGTGTAATAAGGAGGGTGTAGTTTTTTTTCTTCACAAGGTCCAACCTCAATAGAAACGAAGCTGCATCTCCAGTATTTTTTGCTTTTTCTTCTTGGAGTACTGTGTCCAATCTCCTCCTAACTCCGCTTGTGGATTTCTACTTATATCCACTGTGATTTTGAGCTCGACATTTCTCCTCTATGGTCAAGATCTATACTTACAGAAGCCCAACATTTCCACTTGACTGGTACATTAGAATACTGTAATTTGTTCATTTGTAACACAAGAAGATATATGATTTGACCAGCTCACTTTCATAATAGATACTTGTTATGGTTAAAATTAGATATTATACCTTTAATATCAGGTGGGCTTTTTTTTCCAGTTTTTGTCTGAAAGTTACGTCATTGCATGATCTACACATCCATGTATACAGTAACTTATTTCAAAATTGATTACTTTCTTCCTTTCTGGAACAGTAGAAAGCCAAAAATTAGTTACTCCTAAAAATATAACCCTTTCAATGAATGGTGTTCTCAGAAACACTACCACATCTCTACTCGATCACGGTGGTTCCTCGTCAGATATAAGTCGTTCTCACAGTTTCCACAAATGCATCTGTTTTTTTTTTGCATGACATTTTGTATTACACGGTCAATCACTGAGACCACGAATCAAGTTATCATACAAACAGTCTGCACCGAAATTTGGAAGTCTGGACGTGTAGAAACTCGATGCACGTATATTGAGAAGCTCCGTCAGACTAAAGCGTCACCATACAGATGTTTGGAAAAAAATCGATTTATTCATATGGCAGTCAAGAGATTGCAATCATCAACGTAACTGATGCTGGTGTTTCAGGAAAACCGTTTATATAAATGATAAACAACAAAGGATCTAGCACACTTCCTTGTAGAACACCTTTATGAATTGCAGCTATGTCAGAGTAAAAACCTCATGCTTGACGTTTAATACAAACTTTCTGTTTTTTGTTGCGATTTCATGACATCTGGAGGCTCTGATTCCATGATGGGATAGCTTTTTTACTAAAACTGAATGGTCCACACAGTCGAAAGCTTTACTCAGATCCGGGAAAACACCACAAGCACTAAAATAAACTCGGTAGAAATCAGACGAAAGTTATTTTCTTTATTCTATATTCAGCAAAACGCATAATTTCAAAATTCCAACTCTGGATCTCACTTCAACCAGGTTAACTAACGGTTATCTGTAGGTTTCAGACTGTGGAAAAGGGGATAAGTTCTAGTGAAATCCAAGGGTTACAAGTTCCGATTTATTTTCTTTTAGGGCTTGATGACGTCCGAAAGAGCTCGATACGCCACTGGAACGGCAAATTTCTCTGAGATGAATAGTGGAGACCCGTTTAGCTTCGCGAATTGCAGTAGCTGGTGAAACCAGACGAAAAATCGCCGTTTGTTCGACGGTATCATGGTTCGCGTTGGCGTGTGGGTTGTTCAACTCGCAACGTACACTTTTGCGACGTTGCCACACTGTTCGTTTTTTCCTGCTTCCGTTTCCACCTTGGAGTTGACAACAAATTGCAACTACCAGAAACCAGAAAATATATTAAAGCTTTTGCCTGTCTATTTGAATCTCTAACAGTTGCCTGCCCATTTATACCTTCCTTTACCTTTTGTAAAGTTCGTATCACACAAGCTACAATGATTCTTTTCTCAAATGTTGTTCGACTTATATGAGAAAGATATTCTTCGTCGCGATTATTATACAATATAATTTCATATATTTGCTTAACTGAAAGGCTGTTGAAGCCGAGACGACATACATTTCATGACAAATAATAATAAATAACTGAATTATCTCAGTCCACTGTGGCGGTAAACCATTTTCTAGAACTAGAAATCGTTCTCTAATATCTTCATGAAATATGTTGCTGATGACCAAAGATGTGCATCTATGTTACAGAAACATATGACATTTAACACATCGGATGAAAAGTCTTGGGCCCGTGAAAGAAAACGGCTTTTTTTTTGGAATTGGTTTATTCATCAATGTATAATCTCCATCCAGATCCACATATTTAAGCGCGGCTCTAACATTTCAATATCACTTTTGTAGAACTGTTTATCTTTTGCCTCAAAATAAGCCTCAGTTATAGCAATAACCACTTCATTCGACCAAAATTTCTTACTGGTGAGCATTTTTTTAAGGTCTGCGAACAGCCAGTAGTCTCTAGGAGCCAAATCTGGGGAATGTGGTGGATGAGGGAGTAATTCGAAGTTCAGTTCATGGCCGTTTTGGACGAGGTTCACCAGTTGCTCTCCACTCAGATGACGATCATTTTGATTCCGGAGTGAAGTGATGGATCCATGTTTTATCCATTGTCACGACGCAAAAATTCGTTCAAACAAGACCAAACACTGCTCATCAAGACTTTCTTGTTTTTGGTCAACAGTAAACTCGCGCGGCACCCCGTTTGAAGAGGGCTTTCTCATAGTCAAATGCTCATGAAATATATAGCTAATACGTTCTTTTGATCTCTCAGTTCACTCACGCAACTTCACTTTTCGATCATTCAAAACAATTTTGTGAATTGTTTCAATGTTTTCTGGTGTTACTGCCTCATTTGAACGTTCACTGCGTTCTGCATCATCGGTGTGTCTACGACCACGTTTGCAGTCAGCAAACTAACGTTTAATTGTTGTTTCTAATGGAGCGGAGTCCTTATAACACTTTTCAAGCCATTGCTTCGCTTGAAAGTTATTTTTCCCATCAAGAAGCAGAGTAAAATTAAAACACGAAATTGTTTTTGATCCATTGTTTTGAAAATAACAAAAGTAGTGTCACTTTTAGCAGAAAAACTCACAAACTTATGAGTAGGATATCATGAAATTTCAACAACTCTCTTTTGAAGATCAGTACTAACTGAAAAAGCTCTGAATGCAGTAAGACTAGCGCCATCTATGTGTTGGGCACGAGACTTTTCAGGCCATATAGTATTCTATTTAGATGCGAGTTAGGGAAGTGATCAATGTTTGAATATTTTCCTGCGTTCCTTGAATTTTATTTCATTTGAATCCCAGTAAGTTTTAAATGTTGAACTTAAAATACTGATTGCGCTTCTGACTCGCTGTCATTTTTGACACTCTCGTTTCTCGTTTAAAAAAAAAACTTCAACTTCAGTTTTTATTGGGTTACAACAGATATTTGATTCCATGACAGATACATTCAATTTTCTTCACCAAGCAGGATTGCTGATGTCTAATGTTCCTACTGGTGACTAACTGAATTGATAAGGTATTCACCATGTACAAATTCACATCATTTTTTGGGTTGGCATTGGCTTTATTGGGATCGATCATAAAATCACCCCGTTCTCAAAGATGATATGTCTAATTCGTGTTGCTGACCCCATTTGTCATGGCAACACATCCTACAGCCTAGTTTTTTTACACATTTCCTACATACGCACACACTCACAACTCTCCTTACATAACGTTTCATATGTAAACAATCTGGCAACATTGATTGCGTGGTCTGCCGAGATTCCTACTTTCAAGGGCGTTCGAATACACCAGACGAGGCACTGTTGCCGATATCAGTCAAACGGCAACATTGTAGTAATGTTACTAGTTTCTGCGTGTCGTTCGCCGATCATACGGTCTTGCTACACTCTCTCTAGGCGGTTTTTTGCAGCGTCTTGTCGGTTTACGGATGTCTAGAGTCTAGATTGTCTGAAAGCTTAGAAAATCATTTCATGTCATTTTGTATGCTACTTTTATTATTGTATACAAATGGTGGCGGTCAATGATTTATTCACATATTATAAATTATTGAAAAATCTTGACATTTTGACATTACGTTTGTAAATTTGTAAGTCAGATGACCTAGTTTGTCGTTGATTATATTCAATGAATCAGCTAAACTGACCTGTCCTAACCTAACTTTCAAATTCCTTTTCAAATTTCCTATTGAGAAAGTTACGTATTGTATTTTATTTTGAGATTGTAATACGGCATTTTTTACTGTAAATCTTTCTTATCACACTTGAGACAATAATTGCCTAAAACATCAATTTGAATACTTTTCGAAGTGAATTTGAAAAACTCATGAATTAAACTCAACTTTATTTTGTTCAAACTTGCATTTGCTGTAATAACCCTAATTGAGGAACATTCCCGATTGTTCCTTTAGATTTTAGATGATTTGATTTACAGCCATTCTCAAGTATGCCCACTGACTATATAAGAAAAGTTTTTTTTCTTTATACGAGGAATTGGACAAATTTCGGATATGCAGTTGGTTATCTCCTTCGCAGGCAGATGTGGCGACGACAAACCTGTTGTTTGTTGTCCGTTTCAGACTATCGGAAATCATCGACTTGATGATGATAATGGACACTACTTTGCACTAACGAGTGGCCAAACAGCCCGACACTGATCTACAACTGTGTTCCAATAATTGAAAATCTATTGCGGCAGTTGTATCGCCAATTCAATATGCAGGAATAACTTCAGTGAAGAATCCTGCACTGACACCTATCGGATATAATACAACGCCCTTCGTGGTATTAGCCAGGGAAGTAGTTATTTTCAGTCCATTAACCTACAGTGTAGGGAGTTGAGACTGGCCTGAATTGTTCCTTTTGATGATTTGATTCTCTTCTATAA